TCTATTTCTATTTTCATATACATTTCCATCTATTTAGAAGAACCTTTAAGCTGTCTGTTTACAAATCTGCCCCTCAATGTTAATTATTTACAAGAAGTCAGTTGTACAGTTTGTACTTGCATTAAACACCAGATAAAGTGAAGTAATGGTAGGTTGTATATAAAATCCTTTTTTTTGGCTGATTTGTGGTTGAATGCTACATTTTAAAAAGAAGAAAAGAATACAAGTTCTTACCCATAGTCTGGGGTTTCAGTCTATTTTAATCATAGCAGCAAAATAATCAGTCTTCAAGAACAACTCAGCATGATCCTAAAGTCAGAAAACTCACTACCATCCTCTCTTCTACTGAAGTACCCTTTACTTTGATCTGAGTCCATTGATAGAGTTTCAGCTCTTAGCAAGTTACCGCTGAGTTCCCTGAATCCCTGCCTAACAGCAGCTGTAGTATTTTGCTCACATTAATGGAATTGAAGGAGCATGATGCTGAAGAACAAAGATTGAGAAATTGGAAATTAGACTAATTCCCTATATTATGTAGATTTTGTTCTGTATATGATCATATATCCTTTTCAATATCTTTTACTGCCCACAGAGTAAGGAGTTGATCCAGTTCCTCTTTACACGTTTCAACTAAGAGAATAACTACTGACTCTGTTGTAGATTATTGCATGAAGTGGCAACTCTAATTGGAAGACAAAAATCCTTGAGTTAAATTGAGATTTTGGCTTCTTCATTTGATAATCTTGTCCGCTGATTCTTTTTTCTCCTTTATACAAAATCCTCTCCTCTATTCATTTTATTAATTTCCTTTATTATTTTGAAAACTTCAATTGTTTTCCTCTAAAAATAAATTTACCTGCTTTAACCCAGCATTAGAATCCAGTGATCTAAAGGCTGAAATCATCTTTGTTGTATTCTGACTTATTTTAACTATCTATTTATACAAATGCAGTGAATAGAAATTAATAGAATATGCCATTTGTGAATTCACTGATGCTTACAGAGTGTAATTATTAGTTCCACAGAATATATAGTTCATATATTTACATCTGAATATTTAATTTCCTTGGCAAATGTTTCCCCTACACTACATTTTGTTTTCATCCATCATATCTAATGTCATTTTTTATTGACTGTATTTAAATACGAACCCTTCATTTAGTAATATTTGCTGTTGATGTTGTAAGTGCGTATTTCCTGGATCTGATTATGGTGACAACCATTCCACATTTATTATCTTCACCAAGATCATTGTCAGAGGAACCAGGAAAGCTCTACCAGGCTTATCTTTCCATTCAGAATCACTGAACTCTATTATAATCAGTTGTATTAGTCAATCAAAAATGTCATTCTATGACTATAAAGCATTTATTTTTAACCAGAAATCTCATGTGAGTAGTCTTAACAAGTGCTTTTTGAAACTCATGATACATTTATTACACCTTCCATTACTGTAACAGCCTCAAAAACATTCCAGTAAATTTGTTATCCACCTGCATTATTGAAAGCCATTCCTTTGATAATAAGTTCCCATTATTTTTCCTGCCAACAATGACGTGGTAAGGGGGCCCTGGGTTATTATTTAAAACTGAACCAACATTAGTTATTTTCCAATGTTTGAGTAAACTCTAGCTTTCAATGAGCTATACAAATTTTCAGCCAGAGCTCCCCTCAATTCTGTGCTCATTTCCTTGAGCATTCCTCAAATACTCCTGGATTCATTCCATCTAATCTTGTTGCTCTATGAGTATTCAGACACTTCCAATTTCTGATGAACATTTCATTACTGAGTACCTAATATGGATGCATCTTTTATTCCTTCAAATAGTCGAAAGGGGCACAGACAACAGTTGCTCTGAAAATTGTCCCTTTTATGTAACTAATCCAGATGCAACACATTCTTCAACGTTTACACAATATTCTAATGGTAAATAGCAGGTCTATAAAGAAACACAGGAACATACAGGCTCAAAATAGATAGTTTATGACCTATCTGGCCAATCCCAAAGAGAAAACTAGTCTTCTATGTTTCACAATTGATTTGAGCTAAATATCTATCAAGTACTCTGTGAATTTACTGAAAAAAAATGTCTTTGCTACCTGGTTAGGTTCCACCTATTCATCAATTTAGGCAAAATAATTAAATCTAAACTGTCTATTTACTGCACCTCTTCTAGGTCTGTGTTCTTATTGTAGAGTTTGTCACTGTTAAATATGCTAGGGTTCAGTTTATCTATCCCTTTACGATCTTAAATTCTTCAATAAGATTCTTGAATACTTTATTGATTAAATTACTCTTTGAATGATTTGCTTTGCTTACCAATTGTAACCATTAATTCTTTAGTGACCAAAACATTACATTCATGAAATAACTAGCATTATAACAACCTTGTTTTAGCAAGAAGCAGCATTACAAACTGATGATAAGTACATGGCTTCCTTGTTGAGGCCTCCACATTCACGATTTGGACATTTTCCAATGCTAATTTAGCTTATTGCTTAGGTAAATAGTTCTAATTGCTATGGTTCTAATTTTAACTTGTCTCAGTTGTGTCTGACCTTTCATTTGAGATGAAACACTTGACATCCATGGTGCAGATAGGGGGTTCTCTTTCCCATGCGATCAGGTTGCTGTCATTACACATGAAATAATTCTTCCCACTGCAGCTCTTTTTTGTTTCAAGATGTAAGATGTTCCAGTTGACCTAGTCTTCTGTATAATACAACTATGTCATGTTTAGAGTGGTACATTACTGAGAAGGCTCTGGCCTGTGGCTGTGAAGTTTAGGATTAGAACCCACTCCAAGCCTGTGCCCAGTCATTGGGCTATAGGTTATAAGTTTTTATATATATCACATCTCATTCCACACTTTGTTATTGCCTTATGTGTACGATATCACATTACAGTATAGTTAGTATACATTATAGCACTGTTACGTATATGTACTTATTTTATTCAGGAAGCATATCCATGTCAAATTAATTGTCTGCAGTATTTGCTAGTTCACTAAAAGCAGTGAAACAGAGTATTGATATGAATGTAGATCTTCAGAGCAGCCCTGCCACCCACACATCATCCCTTCCCCATTTGTTTCTTTGCTGAACCGTGATAAAGGATTTAATGTGTGCATTTCTGTGTGACTGCTCTAGTTGATAGCTAAAGATCTTTGTAACTTGGACTGCCAATGGGCAAAATTTCACAATGAATGATAGAAGCTAAGATTCTGTGAGAATAAGATTCTGCATGAATGTTGCCTAGGCTTCAAGTTGAATTCTGTCAACGATCTTGTTCCCATTGTGCCATTTGGTTATGGGATTTTGTATTAGTCTTAATTTCACCAAGTAATTTTGTGTTTTGGGGACAGTTGCTCCCATAGACTAAACTATTGATCCCTTCTCCATCTGCCTGATGTCTGTAATTGATATCAACCTCGGCAGTAAACATTGCTCTATGAGACCAAACTGGATTCTGCTTAATGGCTGAGGCATCGCTTGATAACTTGGTTGGAGTTAAAACATAAAATCCTTCAGCTCTTGTGCATAAAACAAAACAATATATAAACCAGTAATTTCAATAGAAACAAACATCAAGGGTTTCTATAGATCAAAATATTGAAATGTTTAATGTTTCATTGATTGTATAGTGAAATGGTTTTAGTATTTGACTGACTAAAGTGCAGTGATATGATTGATGTTTGACTGACTGTATAGAGTAGTGAAATGGTTGCTGTTTGATTGATTTTATAAAGTAGTGCCAAAATTAATGTTTGACTACCTGTAGTGTTGTGAAATGGTTAATGTTTGACTGACTGACTTAATCTTGACAGCAGAGCCTCTGAAACTTCTTTAATGTCTTGCGCATTAGTTCGCATAATAAACTGATCTGTTTTGGCCTCCTAAAGAAATTAAGTGCATCACAGTTTTGTGATGCCAGATGCAAGATAATATTAAGTAGTTTTTTTGGAAACCTCAAATTATCCCCCATGATAAATCTACATATTAATTCCTCATTACTTTCACATCAGAGGACAATTGAAGCAATTTGCTTCTGATCATCATCTGCTTGCACTGAATTCTAATTGTTAGCCTTTGCAGATTGCCTTTATTCAATACAATAAATCATCAACCATGTCTTTATGTTCTTCTCGAGTGTAATTAAATTGCATTGCCAAATCTACTTTGCCTGACTCTATTCTATTAGTTTTGTACTTTTTTTTGCTTTCCTTTTAAATGTAAATCACACTAGCTGATGGCAGAATCCAACTTTGTACAAATTCATTTATGATTTATAATTTATTTTTATTGGTGGATTGTATTACAAGGAACACCATCCAATGTTCACTTTCTAGCAATGTGCTGTGTTGGATCATTCTTTGTAAGCATTTAATAGCTTATTGCAGCCCTAAACCTGTCCTATCACTCAACACAAAGTTAAATTGTCTCCTTTGCTAGAATTACTTATTTATGCCTATTAGTTCTTTATTCTTACTGTTTTTAAAAATGTCATCCCTTAATATCATTCCTAGATACTTTTATATTGTATATGAACAGTCCAGTATTCCCCTAAAAATCAGTGTGTTCTTCAAGTCTGCAATGTGAATAATGTATTAAGATCAGGATATATGCAATAGTTCAGTACAAATGCAAAAAAGCTACTTATACTCAGCAATAAGTGTCATACGGAGAATGATACTATCTAATTTGAAAACAATTTCAATCCTGTTAATGGATTTCACAACTTTAGATGTAATGTAGTTAGGTTGGGGACATAAATCCTAATTTAGAATGCCCAAACTCCGGTATTCTCTTTGCTGAGTAAAAGGCTGGAAATTGTTATTCATTCGGTGAAATTAAACCCTCATTTTAGTAGTACATGTAATTGTAACCAAGTATGACAAGGTTTTTAATTATTAGATGCAGTACGCTTTCTGGTTTGTTTCAAATGAAACTTGGACACCAAACTTTGAAACCTATTATAATTTTTATATAATTGTTTGCAGGAGAGGATATGGACAACAAGAGGTAAGAATGCCCCTGTTTTTGCAGTTGCATTATTCTCCTTTACATTTTCCTGTCTTTAAATCAGCGTGCTTTAAAACTATTTCAATGGAAACTCGATATTTGCTTATTTACAATCTGCTGCTCTTTGCTTTTCTCTCTCTCTTTCTCTCTACAATTGTTTGCCAGCAACAGCAATTACTGAGGCCTTCGCTGCTCAGACCTGAGGTACAATTGTCTGTTAACACATAAACTGATCAAAATCTTCCTGAATGACTACCTGCATAGCTCTATTCAGGAAAAAAAATACCTTTTCTTATGATTCTCTTCTGGAATTAGATTTGTATTGCTGTTAATAAAATATTATTTCAGCTACATATGAATCTAGAGTTCATTATGTTGCTTATCTTAACAATAGGAACTCTCCATGGAATCTGGCATTGATCCTGGCCAGGAGTACTACGCACAGGATTACTACAATTATGAGCCTGGGTAAGCACTGTTCTGTGTAGTTTCTTTTTAAAAATGTTAACTGGTGTGTAAAGTTTATCTTTACAGGACTGTACTAGTGGAGATTTGAGCAAGACAGTGTGATTCCATGCATGTATAATAAATGTAGGGCAAAGCTGTACAATTCATTACAGATCATTTCAAATTAAGTAATTCTATTCTCACGTTACCATGAAGCCATAATTTTCGTGTGTTGAGTGTCAAAGGAAACAAATGGCTATTGCATTGATTACATACCAAGCGATAGGCTGAAGTGCTTAATGAAAGTAAAAGATATTTTTTACTTTGAAGGTGACTTTGAAAAACTGATGATACTGTTAATGTGATAGATTTTACTTTATTTGCAAAAAAATTTGAAGAGTTGGGCATTTTTTTTCTCTTGTCTACTCTGCCTGTGATCCTATGTTTCCATTGTTGCTGATTCCAATAAGTCAACCAGGGCAAAGTATGAGTTTGGTCGCTAATATCTTGCCACCTATTAAGAAGACAGAATATTGATTGTCTCTGCTTTGCACCTGCAAGATTTTGCATTTGGGCCATGCACGTTGCTTCCACCATATAAATGAAGAATTCTGTCCATGGATTGTATTTATTACAGATAATAAAACTTCAATTACAGTGTCTTTCATTTTCAGAATGCTAATCTGTATTTGAAAGTGAAAGCAAAATGTTATAAACTACAAGGGTAAATCAATCATACTATATGAAGTATTATCCATTCAGGACACAGGAATAGAGTTGATGCTTGATATATGGGAGTGAAAGAGGAAAGAGGAAATCGACCCATCCACTCTCTCCTCTCAGCACCTTCGGCTTGCTACACATCCCCGGACTGGTCTGCCCCACCATACCAAAAGCCACTTATCTACATCAAATGACCATTGAAATGGCAGAAATTGTTGGAGCAATTGCCAAAATTATAATCCAGCTATTAATTGCTAAAATAACCAGTCAGATGATTTTATCCATGAGGGTTCCCATTCCTAATCACTATTTAAGGTTACCAATTGGAAATTGTTGATATGAGTAATTGACAAGGTCAACCTCAGTCATGAGTAATGGTGACTTGGCCTATGTAAAGGATTCCTACGTGAATCATGATCTTCAAGAAGAAAAAAGTGTGTTGAAGCACAAAATAATTACATTCAACTTCTAATCTGGATCTAGGTATGAAGTGCCACAGTATGGAAGTCGTCGTAGATTAATCTCTCCATCTGGTATGTACGATGAATTTGGAGAGGTAATAATGGAAGATGATGGAGGCTACTATTACAGTCCAGATGGATCTAACGCAGGTCCAGAGGTAAATTTATTGTTTTTATTTTGGTGTTTTTTTTTGCAGGATTTCATAAATGAAGAATAATTTTAACTTCTCGCCCCAAAGCAACAACCATTGTGCAAGATATGCAAAACAATGAGAACCACTTAATTTTATATTTATAATAATGACTATTTTTTTCTTTGCATCCATGCTTGCATTCTTAAGTATTGATATATATTACCAATTAAACCAGTATTGATTTAATTCAAGAGCAGTTTTCCATTACCAGCCAAATCTGATCAGCAGAATATAGGCACACAAAGCATCAGCCTTGGATGCCCCAATGTCTTCCATGTGGTAGATGATGTTCAGTGTGGCTATATGCTCTTGTAATATAGGACATAAGAAAGGAGTAATGAGAGAGGCCTTTCCAGCTAATGCCATCAGCCAACTTCTGTTTCAGAGTCCAACCAGACAACTTTCATGTATGTGGTTCTTATCTTAAAGCAATATCCGGCAAATTGGGAATCGGTCCAATTATACTGAGTCAACATTTGCTGTAACAATATTCAACTCTTGGTATGAGCGATTGGCTCATTAAATAGGTTTGCCTCAGGGATTCCTCAGTTTATAGTCATATCTTCTGGTTCTACTATCGTATCTTTGCACAAAGTAACTATCTACGTTAGGCTTAAATACATTTTATTTTCTCTTACAATGAATCTAGTTTTCTTTGTCTCCCTTCATAGTTCAGTGATTTGAAATCTGGAATTATTTTTGCTGCCATTCTCCGATACATTTATATTACTTTTTAAAAATATATCCCAACCTTTTATATGTATGGAAAGACCAAAAAGTTGTGATAACATTACAACATCTAATAAGTCTTAAAGAAATGATGATATTTTAGATTTTTTTAAGACAATAAGGTAGCTTCATGACTTTTTGGACACTGTATACTTGCAACTACTGCAAAACATGCTTGTCACAACACTGTCAGTGTTTGATCATTTGTTACGCTGAGTTGACATCTTCCCTAATTTAATGATATAAACTTATTTTGGGAAATATACTTGTGAGTTTCAGTAACTTGCATTTGCCAAAATACTACTTGTGATTCATCTATCCACCTCCTAATCATCTATTGGTTTAATTCAGTTTTACTCCTTTAATTTAAATGTCTTTTTTCACACACAATCTGGTATTGTTTGCATATGTCTAATACCTTCATCAACACCATCAACAAACATTGAGAACAGGAGGACTCAACAAAGACCTTTGAGATGCACTGCTGTCTAATTACTCTCATTGAACAATACTTGTTGTTGCTATTATTTAGCCAACTTTATTATGCGATTTATATTCATTTTAGTTTCAAGAGCTTGGTACTACTCGTTCAAATAATTCGGTATAATTTGTTAAATATGGATTTTGATTTATAAACACCTGTTAACCTGGATTATTGCTCTTCTCTTGCTTTTGAATTGCTTTTTTTATACAGTATCAGTTCTATTGTTTGTCAAAATCTCAATCTAATAGTCCAATAAATTGTGCGATCATGATTCAGCCTATTCTAAAATTGGTTATTTTCTCATTCTTCTTGTACTATGTCTGTATTTAATTAGTAGAAACATTTCCTTAAGCACGCTTATGTGCTGCAGTATTTAGCACCAGGTGGTGTGACACTGTGAGTTTTACATTAATTACATGTGTAGAGTTCCCCTCCACTCCAGCAAAGCTGACGTTTCCTTTCAAACAATCTCTCAGTTAATCTGGTAGTGTACTTTCCCCTAAGATGTAACCTCCTACTGTGTATCTGTGCTCTTATTGCACAGACAACTCATTGCCTCAGGCAAACAATAAAACATTCTACTACCAGAAGTATGTTTACGCTCAGCACACACCAGGTAAGGCAGAATTTTTAAATTCAAATATTAAGAAAAACACTGGGGTTGAAATTACGATGAATTAAGTAATGCAGGTCAATCAGAAATGTCAAACAGTAACTCTTGTGACTGAACTATTCAATCATCTAATATTCAATTAATCGAATTTCACTGTATTGCAAGCGATGTTTAATTTGGTTCCATTTTCATAATTCCAGGGAGTGGATCCAAGGAAAGGTCCTGTTAGAAAGAGTAGGATTCAGGAAGCTGGAGATCAGGCAGAGACAGGGATGTCGAGTAGCGAGGCAATAGATCCCACTGGAGCTTCAGAAGGAACTGCAGAGTTGGCGGGTGCCTCAGTGGTTGCAGATGAAGCTGTGCAAGGAATTGTACGTGAAGGAGAAGGAAAGAAAAAGGTGAAGAGTGTGTTACAGATTAGCAAACTAGCGCCAAGTGGTGTGACATTTGAACAACAGATGGATGGAGAGCAACAAGTGGGAACTCCCATTGCTTTTCACTCTCCATGGAAAAAGGCAAAAATATTTCCTATGATACTTCAGAGGGTAAAAGCAAGCACCAAAGATTCCAGTTATGCCAAACTTGTGTCTGCACGTCGTGTGGATAGCCAAGAGAGTGTAACGAGTACATCTTCAGGAAGTGTGGTCAATGGAAATTCTGTTCAGAAGTCAATCAAAGATAAGCCAACAGAGAAAAGAAAGCTGGGCAAAGTGCTGAAGCATATCAACATCTCCAAACAGTTAAAATCCAGGCGTAAATCACAGGGTTCTATTAGTAAAAGTTCAGCTGCTGAGAGTGAACTGGAGGAAGGGTCCCAAACTAAGGGGAGCAGTGAATCAGAAAAGGAACAAAAGAAGTCAAAAGTTGCGATTAATGTCACTGCAGAGAGTGATCAGGAAACAAGTGCAACCTCTGAGGACGATAGTGATGGATCGGAGAAGAGACGGGATTCCTCCAAAACGACAGGAGATGACCAGTCACAAAGAAGTAGCACCCAACAGTCACAGACTGAAGAAAAAGCCTATCTTAAAGTGACACTGGATCAGGATGAAACCAATGAAAGTACAGTAGACTCTGATGAAGAAAAAGATGATGAATCAGTTGGAACGGAAGACGAGGCCAAGTCAAAGATTGACTCTGATGCAGGAGAAGCAGAATCAGAGGATGGTGGTACTTCAGAAGGTGCAGATTCTGATGAAGAATCAAAAAGTGAAATCTCTGATAAATCTAGTTCTGGAAGTGGACAGAGTTCACAGAATAGAGCTTCTGTTACAGAAGGTCAAGATTCAGTATCGATAGTGTCGGGCAGAATCGAATCCAATGCTGAGGAAATATCTGATGAATCTGAAGGAGATGGTGGTAATAGCAGAACAACAGAATCAAAAACTAGGTCAAGTACATTTAGCAAAGGGAGTGTTATCAGTAGGAGTACGTCAATAGCAACAGAAAGAACAGGAATGTCAGATAGTTCCATAGACAGTGAGGCCAGTCAGCAAACATCAAATGTAGATAGTTCTCAAGGAAAGTCCAGCCTGTCAACTCAGACAAACACAGCTAGCAGGGAAACAGATGTCACAATGGGACGTAGTAGTTCACGTGGGTCTTTATCAGGGAGTGGACCAAGTGTAAGAAAATCAACATCTGTCACTGAGGAAAGTCAAAGTTACATGTCGAAAGTGTCAACATCTGCCAGTGAATTTGAAGCAATTCAGGAGGAATCCGATGAAGAATTCATGTCTGAAGACATCACATCTGAAGGGAATGAAGACAGTGAAAGTAAAATCAATGCATTTATAAGTCAGGAAGAGGAAGAGTCTGGGAACAGTAGCGATGGAACAAAATTTGGAACATCAATCAGTCAAAACAGTACCAATAGGAGTGAGAGCAGGTATAGTAAATTGACAGATGCACAGAGTGACAGTGTTGGAAATAGTATGAGGAGAACAAACAGTGATCAGTCAGATTACAATGACAGTGATGATGTCAGTCAAGCACCAGTTTCACAGCAAACAACTATTAGTAGCGCATTCAGCAAAAGCAGGTTAAAAAGCTTGAAGAGCAATTATAGTGACAATACTGAACTCTCCAGAATCAGTGATAGAAGTAGCTTGAGACATAGTTTGACAAGTGTGGCAGATTCTAATCAAAGCGAGATCTCGGGTTATTCTGAGAGAAGTAACAGAATGAGCAAAGTAAGTAGAAAGAGTGGAAGTTTAAGCAAAGGAACATCTTCAGAATATAATGAATCCAGCAGTGTTGGAGAAGGCTTGCAAGAATCAACAGAGGACAATGAAGGACTAGATGAAGAAATATCAGAAGCGGAAAGTATTCAGGACACAGTGACATCATTATAAAAGGAATGGAAGGTTCAAAAACAATTTTTGAGAATAGATTTTGACGTTTGCTGTGGAGTTTTCAATTGATTGAGTTTGTGAAACTGTTTGCTGTGTTTTTTCAATCAATTTATGATATACATTGCTTGTTGGGATTTTTTTGTCCAATGAGTTTATAATGTGTGTTTTCTAATACTAAGAAGCTATTAGAATTAATGCTTTAAATAATCAAAGAGGATCCAAATTTTGGGTTGGATTTTATTTTTCACTCAACTAGTTTTTCATCATTAAGTAAGCTTTCTTATATTGTGTGATACATTTATTTCAGCAGCTGGGAGCCCAAATTCCACTTAGCCCTCTCCTAGTCTTAGCCTTTAAGACCATTTGTATTTAAAAAAATAAGAAGGCAGTTCTGATGGTGCAGGAGTTAGAGGAGCTCACTGGTTTCAATCATAGTTTGTGTTAAATCTACTGGTCTCAGCTTTGGCTGCATGCGGAGGCTAAATTGACCATGATTTTCCATGGATTGTAGAGGGTAAAACCAGCCAGGGCTCCTGCTCCTCATACCTCTGTGCAGTATCCTTCACTGTTAGTGTGCATGTGTGGCCACCACAGGGTCAGGTCAAGTAGCCGGCTGATACTCACTCCAAACCTCTCCAATAGCAGAGAGGTATGTGCCAATGGAGAGAAAGAAAAAAAATTACTTTGCACAGAATAAAAGAAAAATTAATTACAATCAATTTGGAAGCTGGTACTTTAAGAATTGTGGAAAATCAGCTTCCAAATTAAGAGTTTAAGAAGGGTACACAGTTCAGAGTTTACATTTGAAGACAAAACGGTTTTACAGGCTAAAACTAGGCCAGAATAGTGTTTTATTGCATGCAGTTGGTTTTCCAAAGGAATGCTGTGTGGAAATTACTTCAGTCTGCAAGCTGTAAACCATCGTAAGATATATACTATTTTTTAAAAAAATACAAAATTTACACAACCATTGTATTGTACCAAGTCCTTATTGGTTAACTTGTATTTAAAAATCTCACATTTGGTGTTCTGTATAAATTGAAGTATTGGTTCGACATGGTCCTTTTCTAATGTAAATAATTGCTTCCCTGTCTGATTCTGACCATCAATGACATAATGTCAAAACTTTCTCTTTTCTTTCTTTACACAGTGGGCTCGACAGAAACGCGTAAAGTTGGTTGTAGATCGCGAGTATGAAACCAGCTCAACTGGTGAGGACAGTGCACCAGAAGCACAAAGAATTCGTATTAAGCACCCGAATAACCACAGCAACATTAATAGTAACATCTATATTGCTCAAAATGGATCGATCATCAGAACAAGGCGTGGTTGCCATCCTGGCAACGCAAAAGCAAACTCACCTGCACGAGTAGGAAAACAGTTCAAAAAACTGGATAAACTGGCAGTCACGCAGGAAGAAAAAGTTCCTTTGAGCAATCCACTGACAAAGGCAACAGCTTCTTGCAGCAATGATGACCTTAATGCAAGGGCATCAAGTGGCTCTGTAGGCTCCAGCACCGTGGGTCCTAACAGCAGCATGTTTAAACTGAGCACACTAAAGACAAGGAATGAGAGAGTAAAAAGCACAGATGACCAAGAGTCAGCTATTGATAACGAAGATGTTAAGGAGCCTTTTGAATCTCACAGTGATCAGACACAGTCTGATGAGGAAGAATTGTGGATGGGACCTTGGAATAACCTTCACATACCAATGACCAAACTGTGATTTACAAATTTTACTGTAACTAATAGGAAAGTCCATTTTTTATAGGTTATACCAAAAGTATCACAAATGTTTGAAATATGCATCAGTAGCATAAATTTTGATCTGTATAAATTGCATTCAGCAGGGTCAGCAAGCATCCACATTCCAATGTTTACAGAAAAGGGGTAAGAAATTGTTCAGAGTCATTGTGTTTTGTATCCTGGTTATATCTGTCTTAATCAATTCATGAAACCTTAAACAATCTACAAGATTTCCAGATTGTCCCCACAAGCAAAGTACTTGTGAGTTTCGAAAATGATAAGTAACACCTAATACTGTTGGTGTTGGCTCTGCTTGGGAATTACTAGAATTTTTAAAGAAAAAACAATTGCACATATATTTATATGTGGTTATTTAGTTTTTGATGTTTATTATTCTTCTGAAACTGTTTATATATTTTAAGATCTCACTTTAAACAAAACCGAAAAATTATGGTGGAATTCACGTTTAATGACAGTGAGATAGTCGTAAATATTACCCTTAAAATACATAAATCTTTGCTTGATCTCATTCGTGGATATTCACCATGCAATGTCTGCATCCAGGTTATGCTGTAAATGCTATCAAATGAAATACAGTTGCAAATGTGTGCACTCAGTATTTTACTACTTTACCTGTTGGCCACTTCTTAATAATCCTTGCATTTGATATCTGATATAGCGCTTTTCATGTCGGGAGGACGTCCCAAAACGCTTCACAGAACACACTGTAAAGTGAATTGACTGTATATTTGTGGGTGAACGCGGCAGCCAATTGCGCACAGTAATGTCCCACAAACAGTCGTAGATTGAAAATGACCAATTTATTATTGGTTCTTCAATTTCTCTCACGCAATTCACCTCCTAGTGGAGATATGAGAATATTGTCAGAAGCAGGGTTTTCTTTTCAATTGTTAAACAATGATGTGATTCCCAAATTCTTTCAACTTCTTTTAAAAAAAAGAAACTAATTTCATCATTTGAATATTGTAGCATTTTGTTAAAAAACTTAATTCTGCAGTGCATACAAATAATTTTATCGGGTTGCCCGAATATTTCCTTTGGTCAACATCTCTAAATCTCTAATTTCCCTGCTTGGTGTGCACCATTACGTTTGTCGAACATTTTGAGTAGTTCCTCCAAAACACTATTTAACTGCAAGCTGTTGTTCCTAAAATACAAGATAATGCACTTTATTTTATTGCATCCGCAATCTATTCATAAAAAANCTATGGTTATCCTTGTCCACTGATATCTCTCATAAACCTATAATAAATTCTACTTGGTCTCTGTCAAAGTAAATAACTGTATATTTTTAAAAGAAAAATAGCTTTAAAATAACTTTGGAAATGTCCTGTTAGTTTTTGAGGTATGGCCATTCAAAATATTAACTTCTAATATATTTGTTGTTGGCAGATCCTGTTCATTAATTGATTTTGTACTGCTGCTTACAAAGCCAGCATGGATTTCCACAGATTGAAGACTAATAATTTGTTACTATCTCCTATTTCGCCCGCTCCCCATTTCTTTCCTATGCTACCATTTTCTGTATTTCCTGTCTTAGCCAACTAACCAAGTTGCAGGCCATGGGTGAAACTAATGTTGTGGTGGCTAAACACTAGGCGTGGAAATGATGTCCAAAACTAGAAATGTAAGTAATTATTTGAGGCAAATACAAGTGCATGTAGGTTATGCTTTAATGCACAAACACATTGCTAGTCTCACGGACTGTTGGATTTTGGTGTGACCAGAAACTCCACACAAAGCCCAGTTTCATTTTGCATTGAAAACATCTGCTAAATTGCAATGAAAACCAAGTATATATCTGGTGTTTGCTGTGCAATCTGAAAGCAATTCACTCTGGAGCCTGGGAGCACATGATTTAAAAAAAAACAATAATTTGCACAATTGCGATCCAAACCAGATTTTAGATTTCAGATCAGAAATGCCAATTGGAGTGCCCAAGAAATTGTAAGAAGCCATTTTTCAAGACTATTAAGGCTCTTTACTAACATTAAAAAAAATTGCTTGTGTATCACTAGTGGAATATAAGCATAAATATTTTTAAATCTATGTGAGCGCTTTTAGCAGTGGGAAGTATAAATCCAGTTCTTCTCATGGGATTCCTCCACTGTTGGAAGCTACCACATAAACCAGGCACAGACACATATAGATATTAATTGAGGATAACAGTGGGTTCAGCAAACCAAGAGAGAAATAACATCAAAGGTTATGGTAACAGCATGATAGAATAAGAAGATAAAGTGACTGCTGATCTGTCAATACTGGCTGGACTAGCAGGCACAGGACCAAGGTTGCAGCTGAAATTGTGTAAAATAGGTAATGGAAGACCTGGAAGAATTGATCGGGCGTGTCTGAATTTGCAGCATTGATTTCAACTAATGAATTCCAGTAACAAGTCTACTAGTGACGTTGACAGCATGAATACTTAATATTGGGTGGATAGATTAAACTGTCGAAGTGTTGCTTTTTATGCATAGGTCAATTGACCGGATACACTTTTTAAAAAAACAAATCTTGTAATCATACAATACCTACCACTTTTGGACTTGAGGAAAGTTGCACAGAATGGTATCCTGGTGAAAGATGTTTATCAGATTACCATTAATTAAAAAAAAAGCTATAGCATATTTATATTGATTAAAATCGCACCAATATGCCTTCAATGACAATAATCCTTGTAGTTGTTTGCTCTGTGTTGGCCTTTGGATGTCACTCTGCTGGCTGCTCTATAACTGTAATGAAAATATCCTGTTTTTTTTAAAAAGTGTTTGTACGTACGCTTATGTTGAAAGAATCATTCCCGTCTGTTTGATTTAATAATAAAATACATCAAACACAGTGTCGATAGTTTCATTTTTTTAACACACTGAAGAAGAGAAGGTTGAGGGGCGATATGATTACGGTCTTTAAGATTCCGAAGGCAATAGATAATGTAGACCATGATAAGCTATTTTATCTTGTGCTGAACAGTAGAACCAGAGGACACGGCCTGTGATTGAAGGAGTGTAAATTCAGAACAAATCTGCGGAAACACTACTTCAGTGAGCAGGCAGTAAACTAATGGAACAGGCTCCCTAGGGAGACGGTGGAAGCAGAAAATGTTGTTTGTTTCAAGAACAAATTAGATCGATTTTTGCTAGAAAATAATATCTCAGGGTACAGTATATAGTTTGGGACACGACATGTCAAGCAACTGCCAGGATAGTGCAAGGCAAACTAGATGGATCTTTGTC